TCCTGTACATTCACTTTCTTTCCTGTCTCCTGGAGAATCTTATTTCCCTCATTACGCTGCCCTACTCCGAGGTATCTGGTCTTTGTCCTTCTTGGCATGTTTCCCTCTGCCATCAAACATGTGAGTCTTCCTACAAATGGTTGGAGGGAAGGGACAGAAAGACCCTAACAACAAGAACAAGCACAGTTTTCCTCTGACTGTACGTAATTCTTTACTTACAGTATTCTCTCTTAATGAAAATAAATGATGTACACTTGCTGGCATCTTTTCAGGACTGTTTGTACTTACCAGTTTGCTACCCAGAGTTTGAAAATCACAGAGGCGATTCTTACCATATTGAGTTCAGCAGTGCTGCATGTCCTTAGTTTTCTTGTATTTCTCATTTTCCATTGTTCCTACACAAAGTTTTCCAAGAGTACTTCCTTGGCTCTTTGTTCTTTTGCTCTATACAAGCGGTCCCTGACTTCCGGGACCCAATGCCTGACGATTTGAGGTGTAGCTGATGGAATAATAATAGAAATAAATGCACAATAAATGTAGTGCCCTTGAATCATCCCAAAACCATCCCCTTATACCCCCGTCTGTGGGAAAATTGTCTTCCATGATACTGATCCCTGGTGCCACAAAAAGGGTTGGGGACCACTGCTTCGTGTTGTTTTCTTACAGTAGACCAATATTAGTCTCATAGATTTAATTTACTTTGAAGCTGAAGACTCTCCAATTCGAATCTCAGGTCCTGACTGACCTAACACCTCATCCACCCTTCTCATCACCTTCGAGGCATGTGATGGTCTCACACTCAGCTCAAAAGCAGCGTATGTGAGAGCCCCCTCTCTCACTCCCCATGTTTAAGTAGTCACCATTCAGTAAACGTGAGTGGTTTCAGATTCACTTAATTCTTCTCTTGAAGTGTATTTTTAATCTCTCCTTTTTCATCCCACCTGTTTTAGGCCCTCAGTACCTTGGGTCTCCCTTCCGACAACATCCCAGCAGCCTACTTGCAAATATTCTCCTCTTTCCTGTGTCTCCTGCAAATACTCACACATTTAGCATCCTGAAACTTATACCGTTCATATTCAGGGACCTCTGGTGACTCGCAAATAAACAGATGTAAAGAGTAGACTTTGTTCACAGGTGTCCCCAAATTTTCACAGCCTGTCCTCCTCTGCACCTTGATCCGGCCTGCATTCCCAGATCTGACCCACCTGCTCCTTCTGGCTTCCCTGACACCTCCAAGCCATGCTGTCTCTTCTCTCATGAGCTCCACAGCATGTATTGTCTGCACTGGTGATCTTGGCATCGGAGCATACAGAATACGTTATTGCATTGCTAACTATGTGTATGCTAGCTTTGTGTACCCAAATCACGTTTGTAATAACTGGATGATAAGGATCTTGTCCTGTATTTCTTTTGTATTCCTATGTATGGGGTTAATGTTAGAGCCTAAAGGGCTTAAAAAATGCTTATTCAATAAATTAATTTTCTCAAAGCTCTCAAAAATATGAAAGTTGGGCAGTAAGCATTTCTACTCCTTCCTTTTATGTTCATGATATACCAAATAATCACCTACAATATCATTCAACCATAGTCAGAGGTTCTCAAATTTATTTGGTGTCAGTTTCTCTTTATACTCTTCAAAATGACTGAGAATCCCAAAGAGAACAAGCTGTGGGTTTGTAGGGGAAAATCTAGAGAAATTAAGTCTGAAGGAATCTCTGACATCTAAAATTATCAAACGCACTCATTTCAGTAAAACATCATTGAGTGCCTTCTTGTTGTTGTTCAGCCGCCAAGTTGTGTCTCACTCTCTCGAGACCCCATGGACCGCAGCACACCAGGCCTCCCTGTCCTTCACCAAGTCCCAGAGTTGACTCAGATTCACGTCCATTCACCTTATCTTCGACAAAGGAGGCAAGGATATACAATGGAAAAAAGACAACCTCTTTAACAAGTGGTGCTGGGAAAACTGGTCAACCACTTGTAAAAGAATGAAACTAAACACTTTCTAACAACCATACACAAAAATAAACTCAAAATGGATTAAAGATCTAAATGTAAGACCAGAAACTATAAAACTCCTAGAGGAGAACATAGGCAAAACACTCTC